CCACGCCCACGTGCACGAGACGCGCCGAAGCCACGTGGGGAAGCCGTCGCCCACGAGACCAAATGACCCGCATGCGTCGCGAGGGTGAGATCGCGCATTCACGATTCCTGACGGGCCACGTAGGGGCTGGTTGGTTGGGGGAAGACGCGGCGGGATCGGGTTCGTGTTCGTCTTCACCTGAAATCTCGCATTGCTGCGCGCAGTGGATGGCCCCCCCCTAAGTCTGCCCCTGCGGCGGCATGAATGCCCGCGCCCCCTCGGAGCGCGGGACATCGGGTCGTGCCCCCCAGGCCCAATCGCTGAAGGCGCGGTCGGGCGCGCGCTGGCACTCTGCAGCGCGCGCGAGGAAGCGAGGCGCAACTTGCCACGTCGTCTCCATGAAGAAGATGCTCTCGTGAAGGTCGCGCACGCAAAATTCACGGCGCGTCGTTGGCCCTGCCAACGAGGCGTCTCCCGGCGGCCCCCGACCCTCGCCCTGGCCCGTGCAAAGCGAGGACGCGATCGGGCAAGACGTTGCGTTGCGACGCAAACGCGGCACTGCGTGGCATTGCCACCCCTGCCAATTGGGTTCTGCGGCGCTTCGCCCTCCAGAGTTGGCCCCCCTCTGTCTGGGGCGCCGCGGCCTCTCCCCCTTTGCCTCGCCCCCCCCCCCCCCCCCCCCCATTGCAAATCTCATCGCAGGCTTCGTCGGGCATCGCGCGGACAAAGGCCTGGATGCACTTGCATGCGAGACGCGGCGCGCCGCGCTGCCCGCGCCGATTCCCTCCGAGGGTTCGCCCCATGCGTCGGCGAACTCGGAGCGCGGGCCCCCTCGTGCACAGGCTACCCCATTCATCTCCACCACCATCTTGTTGCGCATTGCTTCGTATGGAACAACTCGTGGGCAAGTTCTTCATCGGCCAAATCCGCTAAATCACCCCCAGGTGTAGACTGCGTCGCCAATGGAGGAAATGGCGTCGGAGTCGCTGCCGCATGCGTCCTCCACGGCGGGATCGCCCCAGAGGTTCACAGCTGGCGCAGCTGGCAAGGCAGCTGTCAGCACTGCAACTGCGGCCGATCTCCAGGCATTCAAGTTTCCTCGAGAGCCTTGTGGCGTGGTTGATGTCAGAGTCCAACGCCAGCTGCCGGTTCCCAAGTCGGTTGCTGGTGCACCTCCCCATCGCCATCCCAATTCTGTAGTAGGAGCCCAAGGTTTCCATGCGCGCACGACGGTGTGCCGTTGGCGCCTGACGTATTCCAGGAGACCATATTACGTTTGTTGGGCCCTGGTCATCATACCATTTAGAGAACGTAGAAGTGAAGCCACATCTTGTGGTAGTAATCGCAGTGCCCGAACTAGGGTGGTCAAAAAGCAGCCCGAAGATGCCCGATCCAGACCTAGCCGACCGAGCCTGGAGGCGAGCGAGATCCCACCAGGCCAGCACGGAGGCGATCCTCTTCGTTCCGGCCGACTCTGAAGCCCATGAGTTCGAGACCTTGCGGCAAGTGTCGTTCGTCCTCTATGCTGTCGAACTCTTGGGACAAGTAATGGAAAATGTAGATGACGGGAACTGTTCGCGCCCCGCTCGCTTCGGCTCCAAACATGGCTGAGGGTCTGTAAATCGCTAGTGTTCGTGCAAGGCCTTGGGGTCCTCGCGAGATGGCAGCCGCTTGTTGTTGGGGGGGCGTACGGCATTACTGCACGTTGAGACTTGCATGAACTACCCGTATGCTGGTTCGAAATAACACTTGAGCAACAGGGCCCCAAGCTGGACTTCGCGCCCGGCCACCCCCTCATATCACATGACCGATAATGTCGCCTAAGGCGACAGAGCCGCAGATGATCAGTCCGAAGTACTTGAGGCGGTTAAGAGAGAAATCCTCGAGGTCGGAATAATGGTGGGAAGGTCCGTCAGGTGCCCACGGCCAGTTGGGGGCTGACAGAGGTTCGCCAGTCGACACTCCTCGATCTGACGAATGGAGGAACAGGTCGCGTGACAACGCGCGTTGGTCGTAAAACTGGTTGCGTAAAAACCGCCGGTGGGGAACGGGAGATGTCGAAGGCCCCGCACTGGTAGAGGTTGAAATTCTTCGCGCTCCTGTCGGCCTGGTAGAGGAGAACCCGGAGATGCCCACGTAGTAGGGGCCGAGGTACGTCGCACCCTTGGTGGCCATGCTGGAAGAGGCGGAGTCGCAGCGGTGTCCCTGTAGTGCTTGATGTTGGTTATGTAGACGTCGCTGGTGATGTCCATGGGGTTCATGACCTCGAGGTGCCCGGTGTCATCGACGAGAGCTTTGCCCCGTAGTAATGGTACTCGCCCGACGTTCTGGCCGTTGTCGATCCTTCGCTTGAATCGGTAGGGCGTGGGCAGAGCTGCCGCGGGTGCAGCAGCTCCGCTACCAAATCGAGAAGGAGGTTGCCATCGCGTGGTGAGTCGACTGTAGAAAGGGGGAAACTGAAATGGTGGTGGTGGTGGTAGGAGAGAAGAAAAGCAAACGGGCGAACGAGATGGTGCGACCTGCAGCAAGGCGACAGCGAGTCACGCAAGCATAGAAGGCTCCCCTTTGGAGCCCCCTTCAAAGTCGGAGGCCTGTCATCGGTCTCCCCGCCAAAGATGACCCCCAAGATGCCTCCAAGATGCCCGATATCTCCCAAGATGGTTCCGAGATGGTCCCAAGACGCCTCGAAGACAGCAAAGATGGCCCCAAAAGAACCTAGATGGCCTCCAAGTCGGCCCAAGATGACTCCAAGACGGCCCACGACGCCCTCAAGACTGCACAAGAGGCCCCCAAGACGCCCAAAGAAGGCTTCAAGACGAGCTCCTAGAGGCCAACGTGATTAATTGTCCTTAGGTTGTTCCATAGTTTTCGCGTTCTCGTCATTCCAGGCTTCCGACACCCGAAGACGGCCCCAGAGGCCTCCAAGATGGCCTCGTGACGGCCCAAGGGGCCCCCAAGAGGGCCCCCAGACGACCAAAGAGGCCCTCAAAACAGCATCAACAGGGCCTCAAGACAACCCCACATACCTCCAAGACGGCCCTAAAGCGCTCAAAGAGGGTCCCACGACGGCCCGGATGGGCTCCCAAGAGGGCGTCCGAAGGCCAAGAGGCTCCCATGAGGCCTCCAAAAGCTCCCAAGAGGCCGCCTAGAGGTCCCCAAGACCCCCAAGAGGCCCCGGGAGGCCCTCAGAAGCCCCAAGAGGCCCCCATGCGGCCCCATGAGGCCCCCAAGAAGCATCAGATTCATCCTCTTCCTCCTCCTCATCCTCTCCTCCTCCTCCTCCTCCTCCTCCTCCTCCTCCTCCTCCTCCGCCTCCTCCTCCTCCTCCTCCTCCTCCTCCTCCAATCGTTTTCCTTATGATTAAGTCCTCCCTGTCGCACCCCGAGGCCAGTCATAGGGCTGGCCTGGCGTTTCGCCTAAGCCTTCCGTACCATGGATGTACCTCAAACTTCAAAACTGACAACAGTTTCGCAGATGGAGGCCGGGTCGCTTCCAAATGTGGCTCTTGTCTCAGCGCCGCGCACGAACGTTTCAAATAGGTTGCAAGAGTTTCACGGATTGACGGCGGGTCGCTTCCACAATGTGGTTTTCGCCTTAGCGGCGTGCACATCTGCAAGAGATTAAAGGATTCAGGGCGGGTCTTTTTTTAATTAAGATGTGGCTCTCGCCCTAGCGCCGCGCACATTCGTTTTAAAAAACTGCCAGGGTTTCACGGATTGAGGGCGGTTCCTGCTCAACATGTGGCTCTCGCCATAACGCCGCACACATTTGTTTAAAATTTGCACGAGTTTCACGGATCGGTCCCAGGAATCGCCGTCTGGCACGACTCTGGATCGTCAAGACGGAACAGTTAGTTTGACTCGTGGCGTTGAAGTCCTGAGAACGGTGTTTTGGCACGCTTCAGGAAACTTGGCACGGTTGTTCCCCAACGGGGCACTTCAATCAGTGGAAATGAGCCCTTACAGGGGCCTATGACGAGGGAACTTGGAGGGAAGGTGTACCCCTACATCGTTGGTGAGTCTTGGGTGTACACTGGACCTCATCCTCCTCCCCTTCCTCCCAATCCTCGTCATCAGCATCATCATCAGCATCATCATCACCATCAGCATCGTCAGCAGCAGCATCATCCGTATCATCAGCATCAGCATCACCATCACCATCACCATCACCATCACCATCATCATCATCATCAGCATCATCATCACCACCATAAGTTTCATCATCACTGTCATCATCATCAGCATCATCGCCATCCTCACCACCATCATTATCATCAGCATCACTACCATCATCATCAGAATCACCATCACCGTCACCATCACCATCATCAGCATCAGCATAAGCATCAGCACCAGCATCACCATCACCACCCCACTCCTCTTCCTCCTCCTCATCATCATCTTTCACCTCCCTCTCCTCGTCCTCCTCCTTCGTCGCCTCCTCCCACTTCCGTCCACAAGTGTTCTCCAAAGGGTTCCCACAACGGGTAGGGAACACGTAGCCCAATAGATTGGCAAGACTTGGGCCCAACTTCTGGCCACATAGGCGTTTCCGAAAGGCAACGGACGGCGGTGGTTCACCGTAAACGTATTCGATAATAGCGCTCTTAAAGCTACAAGAACCGTGGATCGAAGCACACGCATCTGAACGAACGAACGAAGGAACGCTGATTAAATCGCTGCTGCGTATTCGACTGAACCAGAAAGTCTTACGAGTATGTCTGCGAGTGTCCAGCTTGACGGCTTACCGCTGGCGCACGGTGATGCGACTGCCCGCGCCGCCCTGGACAAGCATCGGCGGAAGAGAGAGGTAGAGAGAGGTAGAGAGAGAGAGAGAGAGTGCGTGCGAAATTATGTCTGTGTATATGGATGTGCGTATACAGGGAGAGAGTGAGGAGGGCCCCTGAAAGGAGAGCAGGACAGAAGGCAAGAGAAAGTACAGACGCGTGCCAGATTTTGAAGGACGGAATTACATGCAAGCCCACGCCAGTCAGCCGCCGCGTCCTCGACCTGCCTACCTCCTCATCCGTACCACCAAGCTGGCTGCGAAAGTGGACCGATGCACCCTCGGCTGACCCCAGGGGTCGCTCTGCACTGGTGAGCGCGCCTCTGGGAGGGGGGGCGAGGCCAAAAGGAACCCACACTGCTACTCCCCGGACCTCTCTCCCAGGGTGCGTTCGGACCACAATGTCGAGGCGAGCCCTGCCCTGGCGGCGAGGGAAGCGTGTCGCGGCATCGGCGCGTTTCCTGGTTCCTCCCCTGAGCCCTGGCCCACTTCTGCACCAGCCTTCGGCGCACAGGGCCGCTCCACGGGACGGTCCATGGTCAGGGGAACCGCTTCTGGATGTCAACCCTAACCGCGCTGCAGCTCGCGCAGCTGAGATTCCGCCTTCGCCACCTCTCGGGAGCGGCAAGGAGGGGGGCATCCAAGAGTGGGGGGGCGCAGATCATGGCCGACGGCATGTGCGCGGCACACGGGGGGGCCTGGGACGCATTGAAATAAGACGAGGCGCCATGAAATCTGGGGAGGTATCATGGCCCCCGCCATGATATCCCCCCCCCTTAGTCACCCCCCTGTCTGCCGCCCCCGAGCCTCCTCCTTGAGGTTCTTGTACATCCGGTACTCGCGCTCGACGGGAAGGATGTCCTGGTGCCACCGCCGCTTCGCCGCACCGATTGCGCCCCACGGGGCGCGAGGCAGGGATTTGCATCTGCATATCCACTGCCCGGGAGCCGACCGTCCTGAGGCCCCGGGGGGCAGCGGACATGGATACGGTGGGGGCCCGACCACAAGAAACCTTCCACAAGAAACCCAACCCTGAGACCCCAGGACGTCCATGGGCTTTTGGCGCGGAAACGTCACGCCTGCCATCGCAAAACCATCGAAACCCGAGGAACCCAGGGCACCCTGGAGGCAAGCAGGGTGCTTCTTGGCATGGGTCTCCGCTGTACACCCTGCGAAATGCTTAAGAAATCATGGGTTAAGAAATTCATAGTCTCAGAAATTGAATAAAACCCAGAACTTCTATCAAAATCTTAAGATTTACATTGAAACGTTAAGAATAATCGAGACTCTGGCCGAAAACTTGGGTTTTCTTAAGCATCGCCTAAGGTGTACAGATGGGGACCACTCGGGCCCGAATAGGTGCACATCCACCGCCCGCCCAGGTCCCCGCGGGCGGTGGCCGTGGAGAAATCACCGCCTCGGAATGGGGCCCCAGAAGCGCACACGGGCGAGGCAGAGGCATGCTCGACGCCCGCCGACGTCTGACTTCGCTGCACATTCCTTCACGCGATCCTCTGCGAGGGCCCCATCTCGTGCTTCAAAACATCCGGAGACGGGGCCACCGTGATCTGGAATCGGTCGGGCGCCGACTGTCGTTCGTTGTCTCCCGTGGTCTCCCGTTGCATCCCACGTCTCGCGTCGTCTCCCGCGGTCTCCCGTCGTCATCCGTTGTCTCCCGTGGTCCCCCCGTTGTATCCCGCTCTCTCCCGCTTGCTCCCGTTGCCACCCGTTGCCTCCCGCTGTCGCCCGTTTGCCTCCCGCGGGCTCCCATGGTCGGGCGCCTGGGCCTCCCGTGGGGTATCCTGCATGTTGGTCTCCTGTGGGGTCTCCCCGATCGGCTGGCTCCTCACAAGTGTTGGTCAGAGTTTGCTGCCGCGGAGGGCGCAATGTTTCGTTTTGCCCAGCGGGGTCTGGCTGCTCCAGGGTCCTCCGGATCTTGGGGCGACTGGGCGACCGCGTACCTCCCGTAGGGTATCCTGCATTGGTCTCCCGCAGGGTCTCCCCGATCTGCTGGCTCCTCACAAGTGTTGGTTAGAGTTTGCTGCCGCGGAGGGCGCAATGTTTCGTTTTGCCCGGCGGGGTCTGGCTGCTCCAGGGTCCTCCGGATCTTGGGGCGGCTGGGCGACCGCGGACACCCTGGGTTACAGTCAAGCCGTAGAATAAGGACGCACGACAAGGACGCAAGCGCCTTGGAAGGCCATGTCGACACTATGCGAGCGAATTCCAGGGTAACTTTGGAAAGCTGCTCATCCTTGCTATGCGGGTTGACTGTTTATTGCCTCTTACTTCTGAGTACTACTGGCTGCCTACGGTCCTTGTGGTACTTGATCACCCGGTTGTTCTCGGCCACGAACTTCTCCTGGAACGCCTGGAGCTTCGCCCTCACAGCGCTCTTGTCGCTCTGCAGCGAGCAGATGCGG